AACTGTTATATATTAGAAAATGAGCTGTTCTGTTCATTCAAAAGCCCTTGTTGTATGATAAATTATATTGTTCTCATACTGGCTGCAGGTCAGTTATAATATATCCTGAGCACAGGATATATTATAGCACAGGATATATTATACCTGAAATTCAAAAAGTACTACCTAAAATTGAAAAAGGATACTCAGATAATTTTAATACTTAAATCCATTTCCTTAAATACAATGACTATATTTAATGAAAACATGTTTACCTCATATGATCTCTTATTAGGTCATACACTTTAATAGCATGCTGACAGTATCATATTTCAATCCAAAGTGACTACCCCATGAACAGTGACATCACCAAAATTGTTTTTTTTTTTTAAAAAAAAAAAATGGGAAGTCTGGAAAATACACATAAGGCAAGGAAAATAAAAAATATTACTCTACCATGAATCTTGTGTGGTAACAATATCTATAGACTAACAGAATGACCAAAGTGTTTTTATGACCGATAATTACATTTTTGGTTTTAATTAGCCAAGTTTATTTTCATTTTTTCTATATAGATTTTGTCAAAAATTGAGTCAAATAAAAGCAGCACCTAAACTTTAACTTCTTCATCAGCACATATATGTTTAGTATTTAGATTATTGATTTAGCATGTTGACCATTTAGCATAAGCCTGGTTGCTTGTCTTATGCTGTAAAATATTTGGACAATGATTACATGTTTGGAATCAATAAGATACTGGTTCCCATCCTGGTTTTACTACTTGAATATCCTGGATGGATAATAAGCTTGAAGTTTATGTTGAGCATTAAGTAACAAAACGAATGAGAGTAGATTAAAATACTGATTAATAATATTTATAACTTTAATTCCTTCCTATATTTATTTCCCTTTTAACCAATACTTGCCTGCCCACAGTATTCAGAAAGTTTTTTTTTTTAAATCAACATTTTAGAAAGAGTTTTGTAGAACTGTAGTTTATATTGTTGTGAATTGCATTTACTGCATTTTATCCTGCCAGAGAGTCTGGTTGTTTACTACATAATAAAGTTAATATTTTTCCAACAGCAGGATCACTACTCACTCAGCCCAAAACATATTTCACTATTCTAGGACAAACGTGGCATCTTTGTACCACCTAGTTCCAGGAGATACTAACACACTTTTACTCAATCTGTCATTTCTTTCCCTGGCATTCTTTCATAAACACTATTTACTCAGAAATTTGCTCCCTCACAGTTTAATTTTCCTAACTATTTAAGTCAGTGGCAACTCCATAATACTATTTTAAATTCTTCAGACCATGGAAATGCTTGCTATTTTTACCAATTTGGCAGTTTAACTGCAGAGCAGAAAAAGCTTTAACACCCAGAGACATAAACTTCTGATGTACGCATAAATTACTGGAGTACCCAGTTCCTTTTTCTTGTAAGTGTAGCTCTCCTTGACATGAATCCCCATAGATGTCTTATGTGATAATTGATATTCCAAGTAAAAAGTGTGAAAAACTGCTAGAGAAGAGGGATTTACATGTTTAATCTGGTATATTAGATCATATTTCCAAAACGAAATCTCTCTTAACTGTGGTAATCACAATTAATCCATGCCTACTCCTGTCAATAAATCTTGGAGGGTGGCATAATAGGTTTTTCAAAAATGAATCTTTGCAAAGCTGGAGTCGTGCTTTCTGTTTGAGCTCCCTGAAAGTATGCAAAGAGATTAAGATACATTATGGATTGTAATCAGACATGGAATGAAATTGTTCCCAAGCCTGAAATAGGAATTATGAACAATAGTATCTTTCTTGAAGTTAATTTAAGCATTAAATATTATAAATATATAAAGCACAAAACAGAGTTAGGAATATAGGTAATGCCCAGTTGAGGAATTTTCATTATATAGGATAACCTGAAGTTTGTTACAGTAGCTGCATTTTTCTCAGCTATTTTAATCACTCAATGCCTAAGTCAACTGTTATCTTCTCTACAGTGCATTCTTGAAAAAAAAACTAAATCTCTTCTTGGAAAGCCTATAAGTTTATAATCTGCAAATTCTAATTTAACAATGACCTGCAAAAGAGCATCCCTTACTAATCTAAAATTCATAACCGTGTAACCCTGGTTGGATCACAAGCTCCCTGGGTACAGAACATCACATTTATTATGGTCTTTGCATCTGTGAAGATTTCCAATTTATGAGCTTGCACAGAACTTGTATTCAGTAAGTATTTATAAATTGAATGATAACATATAGGAATAAATAAAAATTTTCAACTGATAATAAAAGTATTTTTATTCTCAAGATCTTTTTCTTAAAAAAGTAACTTTTATAAAAAAAAAAGTATTTAGTCTATCAGAGGTTGTTGCTTTATGTACATTTGATCAATAAATCATTGCAACTAATTTTACCTATAAAGCATGGATACCACTGTGTTGAAAAACTTCTCTAATTCTTTTGTGCTCAAGTTCTGAGAGGACTTAAAAACACCTGCTTTTTCTTTCTTTCAGTAATTTCATACTATGTCTATAATAAGTCCAACCAATATTTGTTAGTTGCTGATTCTGCATTTGCAAATTTGCCTTCTTCCTAAAATTTACTTGTATCCTCACAGTCACTAATCTTTCTGCTTTCCAAATCATTCAGACATGTACAAACAACAGAACCTTTGAGTTGCATGACACACTTTCCAGATGAAGTCAAACAAGGAGACACTTTGATTTCTTGTTTCATTGTTAATTAATGTGTTTTTCATAGTCTTCTGAGTGTTGTGTTTTTCGTGCTTTTGCTCTTTATTGATGACATTGCTATTTTAAATGCTCCAAAACATAAGAGTGAAATGCTGGCTCGTGTTCGTAGGAACAAGATATCTTTCCATCTATCCCTGTTTAATATTTTTCTATTACATATTTTTTTATATTCTGTTGTGGGTATAGAATAATGTGGGGAAAGTTTAAATGTGGGGAAAGTTAACAAAATCAGAAATCTATGAGATCTGCCATGAGTACACATTCACATACACATCAAAAGATGGTGAAGTTAGAAGAAAGAATACTATTCTAGGAGAAGGCAAGGCTTCAGTCATTTGGCTCTGTAGACTACCCTAGATGAGTCTGCAATATGGTAGCCTGTTACTTCAGCTCTCTAAGTGTTTGCAGGTAAGACAAGGTACCTTCTTTATTGTGGTCTTGCACCTCAGTATACCAACTGAGAGAAGTCATGCTATATCAGGCTAAGAACTTCCAAGCAGAAAGAACTTTAAAAATCACCCTCTACAAATCACGATTTAGACTCCAAAAATCTTAATTCTTCTGGAATCATATTTTCAGAATAGTCAATAACCTCTATAGCATAGATTATTCAAAAAGACCAAAGGTCAATGGTTATATTTGGTTTTGTCCTTGTAGTTGTTTTGACCTGCTTTGACTGACAGGAAGTAAGCCTAGAATTTCGGTGCAATGAGCTATATGATTAATGGGTGGTATGAATAGTCTCCTTTTGTCCATAACATCATTGGCACATTTGTTATGTGGAAGACCAAGTGCTCTCTTGGCAGTTTACTTTGGCAACAGAAGTTTCTGAGATGGGCAAAAATGTTTATGGAGGTGGTCATATTTCTTACCTCTTGTCAACTCTAGTAGTAAATTCAGGGTTTAAGATTTGTAGTCAAATAAAAATGTAATAGAATACAATGTGTACTACAAAATGGATGCCACCAAAAAAAAAAAAAAACATTTTTGTATCGATACATGTTTAATAAAGATGATCTCAAATTTAATAATTATTCCAAAAGAAATTGGGGAATTGCAGCAAGAAGATATAACAGTTTGACTCTCAGGGAATTTTAATTGACAGTATTATATTTGTGCAATGTACAGCCACTAAGGAATAAAATAAGTTTTTATAATTGCATGGTGAAAAATGAAAACATCAATATAAGTTCTATAAATTCCAGAAATAATAATATAACTGAACATAGCTAAATAGAGGAATATTTTCTTCAGTATATTTACTTAGATTAGGAAAAAAAATAATCATTATATGATACCATAGTCATCATTTCTTTCCCTAACTCATATTTGACAACTTTTCTCATCTCCTCTATATCCCCCTATTTCATCTTCTGCAATTAGTAAGAACCAAAATATAGAGCTATCTTTGCATTATCTTCTGTGGTCATATGTTTAGGACTTAATGTCACTCTCTTATGAGCACTTATGGGTTCTTTTAAAGATGGCACTAAGGTCTCTTGAAGATCACTTACTTGCAATCAAACTTAAATATATGATTTCAGTTGTTACTATGAAGAGTTGAAGGTTGTTATTTCATTTTTGTGTCCACCAACAAACACATGAAGTTGCTTGAGTTTTCCCTATTGGAATCATTACGTAACAAATATTGATTGTATTTTTCATATAGACAGGAATGTTCATACCTGGAACGAGCAACATTCTAGTGGGAAAAAGGAGAAATATACTGTATTTATACTATAGGGTGAAAAGTGTCCTAAGAAATCAAAGAGAATTGATACAGAGAAGATTTTCATTTGAGAGGGTTAATACGAGCTGTATTAAAGAGGGGAAATTTCCACCTGTGTGGTTGGAATAATATGTCCTAGGGAAAAAAGGCAGAAAATGTTTAAATATACAGAAGGAGTCTGTGGAAAGGAATGAATGAAGGATGGAACAACATGTAGAACCCAAAACACCAAAAGCCTCATTCATTGATAAAGCAGTTTGGATTTTATTTAATATTCAGTGAGGTGTCACTGAAAAATTTTCAGGAGAAAGCAATATCGCAGTTCTACTAAGTATAGAGTAGAACCGAGTAAGAATGGGAGTGATGGAAGAAGATAGTTGAGAGTCTGTTGCAGAATGCTTAGATAAGGGAACAAACTCCTCTACTGGTATATTTCACATTTTTCTAGATTTTATCAAGATGAAGATACCGATCAAGTTAGAGTCTTTAGCCAAAGTGAGGTTGATCACTCTTTTTTTTTATTTCAGATTTTTCATTATTCATATACTGCTTCCTATGTGATTTACAACATACACACTAGGTAAGTTCTTTGATTTTCTGTTTTCATGAGCAATTATCAAACTCGGTTGTTCTAGTGGATGCCAATTTGTTTATTAAAAAATATTTACCTTTTTTTCAAGGGAAGTTTGGGAGTTAAATCCTCCAGAAGTAGAGGACTCCATACTGCAGTATGCGGCCTGGGGTGTCCAAGGGCAGCAGCTGGTAAGCACAGGCAACGTGATGCACCAAATACTATCAGCCGCAGCCTACAGAACATATTTACAGAAATCACTGTCTTGTAAAAATTGTCCCATTACATTTGATTTTTGTCTATTTATCTTGATATCTTTATCTAGTATTCTAATTTAAGAACATATCAAATAATACTAGTATATATTATTTGATATAGTTTAAAAATTTATCAAATAACACTAGTATTATTTGATACTGATATTATTTGATATATTAATTTAAAAAGATTAATTTTATAGAGTATTGTAGAGTATTGTTTATAGAGTATTTTATAGAGTATTGTTTATAGAGTATTGTATGATGTCACAGATAGTTAAGAGTGAAACCTGGAAGAGTTCCAAGTATACTAAGACCTAATATTAGAGAGTCCTAGCCACTGGAAAGACCCTTGAAAAAAATCTTTAAAATTTTGATTGGTTTCAAATGATACCTTTGTTCTGAAGGAACCTGGCATCTATACCAAAATAATAATAGTCTGATACATTTAAGGAAGTATATTAATCACATGTGTTTTCTTTAATGATTCCTGTGTGATATTGATTCTTTATTCCTCGATATATTTGAGAAAATCATTAAAATAGTAAATGTCCATGAAAATTATAGGTCCTCTGGTAGAAGTTCTTTTGCAGATAGCTGAATCATGGGTCCATTACTTATAAGCTGTTGAACTTGAGGATATTAGTTAATTTCTCTATGCTTCATTTCCTTTACTTTAAAATGGTAACAGTAACAGCACTTTACTAACTGTGCTATTCTAGTTGGATTCCTATATATAAAACCCTTCAAAAAGTATTTGGCATATAATAATAAATGTTAATTTTTATATATTTTTAAAGGGTGGTATAAATATAGTTACTTTTAATTTCTTTAGAATTTCAGTATTTCTACTTTTGTGGAGAATTAGTCCTAAGTTCTGTATAATGACAGTTTCCGTGGTCCTTTGGGGAAATTTTAGGATAAATTTCACATTTGTTAAGGTTATCTTTTGTGTGTTGAGAACCATAAATTCAAAATCAGTCAAAGGTCACATCTTTTCAAATGGTTTATGGTCCATTTCATGTGAATATGACAGCTTTGTCAATATTTGAAGCTATCAGCAAACTCAGCAATAAGATTTTATTAGAGATGAGTCATTACAATGCTTTAATTAGTTTTCCATTAAATTAATTAGAGGACTGCAGTATTTACAAACTAAGGACAATTAAATCCACATCATTAATTTTCAGTTTCTAATTTTATTTGCTATAAAAGAAACCTCTGATTTTAGAGAAGAGATTGACATAATTTATAGATAAAGAGGTTCTGATCTAGAACTCAAAAAATGGAGAATTTTCCAGCAGCACTAGGTGTGGGGGAAGGCAATTGTGAATGTGGCAAGCTTTGTGGAAAAAAACTGACATTAAAAAAACAAACAAACATACATGAATTAGTTAGAGAAGGCAGTGAATAGACCACATTAGCTATTGTAAAAGTTTTTAAAAAAGATATGGTGGGTCCTAAAACAAAAAAAGTATGCAAGGCATTTAATTGAAAAGGCTTTTGTTATGAGAGTGTGTGTCTTTTTTCTTTTCAAAAGCTGATATCATTCCTTTAAATATTAAAAAATTCATATAATGCATACATTCACATGAATTGATATATAACAACAAAATCTACTTATATTTCTATCACAAGAGTTGAAAGATTTGGAAAATCAATTTAGTTTGGATTTGAGAAGGGAAATTCATTTTACTAATTAGAAAAATATGTTGAATCACAAGACCTTCAGCTCGTCTAGATTATTTATTTGTTTGCTTGTTTATTTATGTGTCTTAAGAAAGGTTAACTGTTCTGAGTTTAGCTTGTTCATGCTAAAATGAAATCATAACTGCTGAATTATGTTTGAAATATAAATAGATAGGGAATAACACGTCAGGATTCTCCAGAAAACAACCAATGCGGTATGTGTGTCTGTATGTATGTGTGGTCTGTCTCCTGATAGACAGCCAGCCAAACAGACTGTCAGAAACATAGAGGAATAGAGATAGAGAATGGACCTTGTGCATATGGGGTTTGGCAAGTCCAAAAGCTGAGGCACAGTGTGTCAGGCTGAAAACTCAAGTAAACATTAATGTTGCAATGTTGAGCACAGTCTTGAGACAAATATTGTTATTTGGGAAAGTTGTTTTTCCAATTATGGCCTTTAACTGATTGGATGATGACCACCCACATTATTCTTTACTAAATATCCACTCATTGTCAATGTTAATCACATCTACAAAATACTTTAACAAGGCTGTTTGAGTAAACTGTGAGGCACCATAACCTAGCCAAGTTCACACATAAAATAAACCATCACAGCATACTCAGCACTCAATAAGTGATAACTGTTCATTTGACTCCACCCATCCTTTCCTCTAGCAGCTCACTTTCTAATATTCCTTGCCCAATTGCTGGCTACCCAAATACATCGACTGCCTAAAGAGATTTGTTAAAAGCACAGATCCTTTATATATAGCTCACACAGGGTTACAAAATGTTATTGAGGGCCTCCCCAGTGGCGCAGCGGTTGAGCGCCGGGTTGCGAAGCTGCCTGTAGCCTCTGCAGCGCCGGTTCTATCCCCGGCTGCTCCCCGGAGGAGGGTCCCACATGGCGCGCAGACCTCTCCTGCCGCCTGCTGCTCCCCTCAGCAGTGTACTTCAGTCCTTCTGCCTGCTCTGCTCCCCGCTCTGGCTCTGGTGAATTCTCTCACCCTCCCGCGCTTCTGACTGTACCCAGTGCTTGTATAAATAAATAAATAAATCTTTTTAAAAAAAGTTATTGAAATGACACATACAATCATGCATGTAGCAATCAAGATATGACGAAATAACGTATCACCTGATTTACCACTCCATCAAAGGACAAAAGCTCAGATTTTTTTTTTCTACCTCAATCTCTCTTTCTCTTTCCAGAAACTGACCCACTGCTCCCCTGAGTCTCAGACATCCCCTTTTGTATATCCAGTCATTGCTTTCTTCTCTTCAGACATCTTTGTCAACGCTTTCTCTCCTCTCCTCTGATAACAGTTTCCCAACTTTTCCACATGCAAAGTGAATTGCCTACTTTTTTAAAGATTCTAACATTCCTCTATTTTACCTCCACTTACTTAATGTTTTATATAGTCTACTTACATTGCTATTTTTTTTTAATATTGCTTTCTTCTGCCACTGAACTACATTAGTCATTTCTAGAGAAGGCAGAATACAGAACGTGCTGCCTCTCTCTGTCTCTTGCTCTTTCCTCTCCCTGGCTCCCTCCTTCCCTGCTGCCCTCCCTCTCTCTCCCTCACTCTTCTCCTCTCTCTTTCTCTCCCTCCCTCCGTCTAGGACTCATCTTAGTGTATGGTACACTATAGATTAATAAATTACTGGGCATGGTGAGAATTAATGATAGATTGACTTGTTTCTGTGGACAGTTTTGAGGATGGTGTAATATGAAACAAAAGTCATGTATGAAAGTCTGGTAGAAGAGTTCAAAATAGGCTGTGAGGAATTGAGTCCAGAGGCAGAGATTGAGGCTTATACGCTTTTATTATAATCCAGAACTGAATTTATAAGTATTTATATAGATAAAAGTAAATCCAGTTTTAAACTGAGATCTAAAATTTGATTTGTGTTCAGCATTAGAAATTGTCTTATAAATAGTCATTCGAGTGAATTAGATTATGTAAATACTGTATTTTATTTCTATAGTTTTAGAAAATATTTTACTTTAGACTCATTTTTTTTAAAAATACTTTATAACAAGACTAGTGTATACATACAAAGGACTGTACATAGTGAATGTATAGAGCTTGATGTGGTGGAGATGAGTAGGCACTCATGCAAGCAGCACCACATTCAATGCCATAAATGTATTTATTACCTCTGACAGTTTCCGGTGGCTTGCTCGATTGATTGATTGGTTGGTTGATTGGCTAGTGATAAGAACACTTAACATTAGACTCCATTTTTGACTTTTTTTTTTTTTTTGGTCTATTCTGGGTAAAATAAAATCACTATACTTTTGCTTGCACCATCATTGAGCTTTAAAAATATTCAAAGTTTTACTTATATTTTATGACATAGAGAAGTTATTTTTCTTCATTTTATTACCTATACTTTGGAAAACTAATTTTTAGGTCATTTGTACAGATACTAATAAAAATTATCCAATTTTTCCTTATCCTCTGCATTTTTACTGTTATTAGAGATTTATAATTATAGTAAAACCTTAAGTAATTAGCAAAGGCTCAATACTCAAGGAGATTTTCAGTTTCCTTAATCGAAACATTTCCATTAAGAGAAATTTTGAACAATTGTGTTCACTTAAAGTATGGCTCTTGTCCTTGCTGGCTTAAGCTAGTTTTTTGTTTTTTTGGGTTTTTTTAATATTTATTTTTTATATCGTTCTTCATTTTTTTACAATGTATGCTTTCTCATTTCAATTATAGTCCCGTGGAATTCCCACCACCAATTCACCCATGTCCCATCACCATAGTCCCTTGTACTCTTCCCACCCATTTTTTTTAAGAAGTGGCGTACAGGCCAGAGTCATGGGGGGTGAGAAGATTCACCAGAGAAAGCAGGGAGCAGAACAGGCAGATGTAACAAAATACACTGCTGAGGGGAGCAGCGGGCAAGACTGGAGAGGTCTGCTGCGCCATGTGGGTTGCTCCCCAGCAGGCCAGGGATCAAACCTGCCCCTGCAAAGGCCATGGACAGCATCACATTGCTGAGCTCAACCCCTTGTGTCACCAGGGAGGTCCCCCACCCCTGTTTTGATCCAACTCCCTCCTCCCCGCTGCAGAATGTCTCTGGTTTATAGTTGCTTGTTGATTTTGATTTTCACTTTATTATAATAACTTTTTTTTTTCTTTCCACTGATCCATTATTTGGATCCTATATATTCCTCCTATAAGTGGTACTTTTCTTTTTCTTTCTGGCTGACTTCACTGAGCATGATCCCT